TTCTACCATATAAAACATACCTAAGATTCTTACATGTGTTCTTATTATCAAATATAGTAAGTAATTAAATGGATATAATGCCATCCACCTTACTACTTAATATAATCTACCTAATAAGCTACCTAAGTGTAATTAAAAACTATGTATACTTGAGTCTGCCACATTGATACATTAAAAAGTTAATATCATTACGGATACTAATTCCACGAATATCAGGATTATTCTTGATTATTAAATTCAGTGGCTCTGATACCCAAACATATAGCATAGAGCTCATTGGATCACCTTGCCGAACTCTACGGGTTAAGGTGAGATACGTGTGACATGGCCATTGTACCTCACAGAACTCTTTATATCAGTATATACAATCTTAATGCATGAAATGAAAAAATCTCAAAAGTTAAATTTCCTGAGAATTTGAAATAGATATTGGTGTGAAACCCATTCAAAAGCGTTCTCTTGATCAATTTTAATGAGATAAGAGTCATCATTACGAATATTAATAACATCAATAACATCTCGAACAGAGTGAAGGTTGTTGGCTATGTCTCTTCCTGGTACACAACAAGATTGTTCAGGGGAGACAATTGAAGCCATGACATTTCTCAATCTCAACGATAACACTCTTGATCTGAGTTTAGAATCTACATTAATCAATGAAATAGGTCTGTAACACTTAATGTCTCTCTTGTCTCCTTTCTTTTTATAAAACAAACTGATTATACTGTTTTTCATGGAACGTGAAAGGGTATGTTATTTGTGTATCCCATCTACAACTTGTGAAAAGAAGGGACATAAAATATCCCAAAACTTTAAATAAAACTCAACAGTCCGCCCATCAGGGTGATGTATTCTGTTTGATTCCTTTGAGTGCCACTGAAAGCTCACTGTGAGAAATAGCCATGTCACATGAACTACTTTCTTCCTCGGAAAGTGTTTTCTCAATATTATCAATAAGGTCCTGTTGTTTTACTAAATTACATTTCTCGGCAGTAAATAAGGACGAGTAAAATTGTTGAGCAGTATCCAAAATACCCTCTGTGCTCCTGGCTATCGTACCATCTCCCTTGAAGAGTGATGTTATCGACTTAGCCTGCTGTTAAAGTTTTTCAAGGTTCAAAAAGTAACTGGTGTTTCTGTCTGAATCCAGCGTGCACTGTGCTTTTGAATGACACCCTTGCATTTATTATTCTCATAGATCTCAAATTCAAATAGTTCTGCTTTAAGTAAAGTCCAGCCTCAGTGCAACTAGACTGTGATCACTCACATTTAATGACCATTACAATTAAGTGAAATAGATAATTATTAAACAGGCGAGGTTTCAATACAGCCTTTCAATACACCTGATATTTCTCTTCTATCGTTGACTTTATCTGCTTCCTTTTCCTTTTGATTGTGGGGCGGTGGGGTAGCCTAGTGGTTAAAGTGTTGGCTCGCCATGCCGAAGACCCCGGTTCGAATCCCCACATGGGTACATTGTGTGAAGCCCATTTCTGGTGTCCCCCTCCGTGATGTTGCTGGAATATTGCTAAAAGCGGCGTAAAACCAAACTCAGTCAGTCAGTCAGTCCTTCTGTTGGTCTGTTTTGTTTTCTGTCTCTCTATTGTTGAGGTCATTGTTCTGTGTTACTATGGCTGGTAGTTTGGGCTGTAGTTTACCTGAAGAAATAGTCCGTTTGACGTGTTACACATGTTGTATGTGGAATCTCTTTATCATCTTCTGTTTGACGTGTTACACATGTTGTATGTGGAATCTCTTTATCATCTTCTGTTTGACGTGTTACACATGTTGTATGTGGAATCTCTTTATCATCTTCTGTTTGACGTGTTACACATGTTGTATGTGGAATCTCTTTATCATCTTCTGTTTGACGTGTTACACATGTTGTATGTGGAATGTCTTTATCATCTTCTGACATGTCAAGTCTATCTATAATGTGCTATTATTGTCTTTCCAAGTGTCACAAATAGAAATGTTGTCTCAATAAGGAACTGCACGGGTATTTGCTTCCTTAGCCTTTCTTTCCTTTTCTTCTCACTCTCTCTCTTTTCCTCTTTATAGTTTTTGCTCCTTCTGGTCCATCTGTATGGTTCTCATTTCAGATTTGGTTCCCTGACTTGCATTAGAAACACACAGGCTCTTGGTTGTTATGTATCCCCCTAAGGTATCGATGTCCCTCTCGGGTGTTGAATCCCACAGAATATGGTAATGAGGTATACACTCCTGGGGGGAAATACAACCCGCACATATATTGTGCCGTCAGATATGCTTGTGTCTTTAAGGGTCCTCTGTTCAATATCACTTTCCATAGTGATTCCTCTTTTGATGGTGGGGCGGTGGGGTAGCCTAGTGGTTAAAGCGTTGGCTCGTCACGCCGAAGACCCGGGTTCGAATCCCCACATGGGTACATTGTGTGAGGCCCATTTCTGGTGTCCCCCGCCGTGATGTTGCTGGAATATTGCTAAAAGCGGCGCAAAACCAAACTCAGTCAGTCAGTCCTCTTTTGATGAGCAGCTTTTCGATTTCTACGTCACCAATGACAGAACAACAGTGTGGCTGTGAAGCAGTCTAAACGAGATACGTTGTTCTCCTATCACCAAGTCATCGGTTTCTGCAAGAAGTCTTGCTTCGGTAGTATCTGGGACTGTACCAGCGTAGCAACCGGTCCTTTTCAAAACACATGCCCACACAGCAGATGTATATTCCACCAATGTATTGGATAGCATAGTTGTGCTAATAACTTTAATGTCTCCCACATCGATTCAATACTGCAGTCTCTCTTATACTTTCCTTTTGATTTGATGTCCACCATTTTGTCGCCGTAAGCAGAACTTGAACCTGCGCGGGAATATCCCATTGGATTTCGAGTCCAACGCCTTAACCACTCGGCCATCACAGCACTCACGTCAGGGGCACTCGTCTTGAGGGTTTCACCAGCTCGAAATATTTGACAATTAAGCTGCAGCAGTTTATAAAAAACGCTACACCTAATCAAATTTTCAATTTCATTTAATGCAGATTGTCATAAAGAAGTACCTACACACTTTACCCATCGTACTTCCAACTAAACCCCAATACGTACACACTTTACCCCAATACGTACAGTAAACCAAATACGTACACACTATACCCCAATGTGTACACACTATATCCAATACGTACACACTAAAACCCGATACGCACACGCTATATCCCAATACGTACACCCAATCCCAATACGTACACACTATACCCAATACGTACACACTATACCCCAATACGTACACACTATACCCCAATACGTACACACTAAAACCCAATACGTACACACTATATCGAATACGAACACACTAAAACCCAATACGCACACACTTTACCCCAATACGTACACTAAATCCCAATACGTACACACTATACCCAATACGTACACACTATACCCCAATACGTACACTCTGTACCCCAATACGTACACACTATACCCCAATACGTACAGTAAACCAAATACGTACACACTATACCCCAATGTGTACACACTATATCCAATACGTACACACTAAAACCCAATTCGCACACACTATACCCCAATACGTACACTCTGTACCCCAATACGTACACACTATACCCCAATACGTACACTCTGTACCCCAATACGTACACACTATACCCCAATACGTACAGTAAACCAAATACGTACACACTATACCCCAATGTGTACACACTATATCCAATACGTACACACTAAAACCCAATACGCACACACTATACCCCAATACGTACACTTAATCCCAATACGTACACACTATACCCCAATGTGTACACGCTATACCCCAATGAGTACACACTATATCCCAATACGTACACACTAAACCCCAATACGTACATGCTATACCCCAATATGTACACACTATACCCCCATTCCGTACGACCCGTGAAGGTCCGGGTTAGAATATTGATCTTCAGTAACCCATGCTTGTCGTCAGAGGCGACTAACGGGAGCGGGTGGTCAGGCTCGCTGACTTGGTTGGCACATGTCATCGGTTCCCATTTGCGCAGATCGATGCTCATGCTGTTGATCACTGGATTGTCTTAACTCACTCACTCACCATTCCGTAAACACTATACCAAAATACGTACACACTAATCCAGTATATAGGCATTGTGTCACAGTATGCATTGTGTCACAGTATGTAGATATTATATCCTGAAACAATGTGAAGGGTGATATCGTTAATGTAGCCCCTGAAGCGTGTGGAGATATTCATTCTACCCCGTGGCTTACTGTGGTCTTCTGTTTGTACAGGAAGCTTGTCGACTTCTCTAATACACTGTAAACACAAACAGTCAGTTACCCAGCATCGCCCGGAATCAAGGTACGAGGCACCGACATATCAACGTATCAGGTGAACTAATAACGTATGATGACATGAACATATGATATATTTTGGATTACACTTCCCCAGTAAGCATAATAATAATGTGCAAAGTATATAAACAGCTACGACGACTACGACGGTGATGAAGCTGTCTGGTTGTATCTGTTGTTGACAGGTACAAAGCTCGAGTGGTTGCCACTCTGATACCGGTGTTATCAGCCAGGTATTCATACCTACATCATTACATCACACAGGTGAGTGTGCTGGTGGCAGGTTATCGGGGACGCGTGTCGGTCCAGTAGGGCTCACTGCCTTCCACTCCGCCAAATCAAGTGAATGAAATTCATTGGCAGGGAAATGAAATCGGAAAACAATATATCACATAAAAACTTTGAACATTTAGACGTGATAAACATTCATGAACGATGTTTATATTAGGGATGTCATCTTCTTTATCAAAATACATTCGATAACCTCCCCGCCTAATACATTACACAGGCGACTCTCAGCATGCTGATACAACGTACTTTCCACGAAAACTTGACGATATAAGAGACTGAAGTTACGGTATATTAATTAGAAAAGATACATATTTTATGGATGACAACTTCTTTATTATATATGACGCGACGTTTCGGTATAGATTCTTATACCGTTGTCTTGCTTGACAACGGTATAAGGCTGAGGATATAAACCGAAACGTCGCATCATATATTATTACGTCGTCATCCATGAAGTAGCTTACTGTCATATCACTCACATCTTCTAATATCCCAATCAACCAGATATATTAACTGTGCAACATTCGCATGGTTGTGTTATTCATATCAAAACCTGGAATAAAAACCACCTAATTAAAATTCTTTAGAAACGTGTTGTTTTTATTTCCGTGATTTTACAATTAGTTTGTTGATTTGATGTTGCTCTCGAGGAATGAGACCTGACAAAATGCTCTTAAAAAAGAAAATACTATTTCCAATGTAGCACAGCTCAGAAGCACTGAATGAGTATAAAACGCACATCAACAGACCCGGTAACATGTGGTATAGCATCACTTGTATACTCTTTAATAAGTTAAATTGCAATTAGGTAGTTTTGAGACTAACACTATTTGAAGGAGCTATCATATATTGTGTTTACAGTGCTAATTGCCATTTCTCATGCGTCAATATCCAATCCCTCAAAGGGAAAGTAAACATGAAAATATTTTGTTGAAAACACATCAACCCCCATTCAGCGCTGCTCGAGACGGATCGTAACAAGCAAGCCTTGGGCGAGCCGACTGTGATCACGTGACTGTAATGTGACTTCGCTTGGCTGTCAGTCGGAAGTTGAGTCTGCCACGTCGAAGACAGAACGAGGTTCGGAGTTAGACAGCTCTCGGTGAACGTTGGATTGTGAGAGGTCGACATGGCCGTATCTGGCTAATTACAACACCACAATGGAGGCTTGTGAGACTTTTGAGACGGACGACGTACTTGAGGACGAGTGGTACGAGAATGGTGAGTTGTTGAATATGTCGGTGTTGGCATACTGACCGGCTGCTCGCGGGGGGAATCCACGAGCGTCTCGCACTCCCAGCACACACGCGTGTATATATACTGTCAGCGGATCACAACACTGCTCCATTCCACACATATGTTCTCAGTTCTTATTGATTATTGGAGGGCGTTTAACAAAACTGACGACCGAGGACTGACCACTGACAGAAATATCAGCTGGCGGCTGTCATCACGGCCCGTCGTTGTTTAATGCAGCAGCTAAATCTGTTGTGTTCTCCGCAGCCTCACAGCTCTGTTTGTGCAAGGAAATTCCAATTACACGACGTGCATTCCCCAAATACCGCTAAATGTTCTCAACGCAGCCAAAAATGTTGTCTCTCGGTGGGTTTTGTACAGTCAGAATGTATATTTGTTTATTCTCTGTTCAGTTTCTTTACGAACGATTAGTATTTGTAATTTGAGGTAATTCGCGGTGTTTAACATTAACCTGAACCAAATATCTTTTATGTGGTCAGTCGTAGCCTGGCAGTTGCTGCCATTGTTACATGTGTACGTACTTAACTCGGCAATAAACACAGCGGTTGGTACAGTAAGTGATGAATGGTTGACGCAATGTAGGGAGTAGAACCATGACACCCACGCCCGCAGTCTCAGTCATTTATGTCCAGTATGTTTATCACGATAAAGTTGCTATAGCTACTGACAGTGAACACGGACAGTACAACAATACAACACGGACAGTACAACATACAACACGGACATTGCAACATACAACACAGTACAACATACAACACGGACAGTACAACATACAACACGGACAGTACAACAATACAACACGGACAGTACAACAATACAACACGGACAGTACAACATACAACACGGACATTGCAACATACAACACAGTACAACATACAACACGGACAGTACAACATACAACACTGACAGTACAACAATACAACACGGACATTGCAACATACAACACGGACAGTACAACATACAACACTGACAGTACAACATACAACACTGACAGTACAACATATAACAGTACAACATACAACACGGACATTGCTACATACAACACAGTACAACAAACAACACAGTACAACATACAACACGGACAGTACAACATACAACACGAACAGTACAACGTACAACACGGACAGTACAACACGGACAGTACAACATACAACACGGACAGTACAACATACAACATGGACAGTACAACATACAACACGGACAGTACAACATACAACACAGTACAACATACAACACGGACAGTACAACATACAACACAGTAAAACATACAACACGGACAGTACAACATACAACACGAACAGTACAACACTCAAAGCGGACAGTAGAACACAATATGGACAGTAGAACATACAATGCGGAGAGTGCTACGCTCAAAGTGGACAGTACGACATTCAACGCGGACAGTACAACACACTATAGCCAGTACAACATTCAATGCGGACAGTACAACATTCAAAGCGGACAGTACAACACTCAACGCATACAGCACAACACTCAACGCGGACAGTACAACTCACAACGCGTACAGTACAACAGACAATACAGCACACCACACAGCCTTGTCATGCCAACACATTGACTATAGTAGTAATAAGGGGTCGGGGGGTCCTTGACTTGTTTTGAGTACTATAGCTACGTATTCAGTCTGCTTATATGGAACAGGGTAATGTGTCTCACCTGGATACCGAGGTGAAATGTTCATAGATCCACGATGCCGAACAGCAACCCACAATTACTACCATGTTTAATACGCAGATGGAATTTCAGCATAAGAGCTGCGGCCTCGAATACGATACATTAAGGTTATTTATATTTATTTGGTTCAGCATACTGTATGTAGTCAAGCAGGTCACTAAGCACGACCCTGGTTAAACATCATGTTCATCAATAAATGGATCACTGTTCACACACCAAATACCTATTTGAAACATATGAATGTATTTAGAGGTTTGTTTCTTGTAACAGACGTTGGCTAATTCTGATGTAGTGGTGTGTTGGCGTCCGACGTGTTAATGAGCGGCTGTGTGACTAGGTGCAGTTATCATCTGATACTATGATGAAGTCCGGGATAAAGGCTGGGAGACTGGGTGTGTGGCTGTGCTAAATTACACACAGATTACATGTGCTAGTTTAAGTCTTTACAATATTACATCAGCTGACTTCATGGTCAGCAGGCGCCCACCCAGGACCACCAGATGGTCAGCTGACAGTAGCCATCTACTATTTCCACACCCATGCAATAGAAACAGAAACTAAGCACTGTCGGAAATACAACCGTGTTAGGCCGTTACTCTGTATCCCTAAAATTTACACAATTGCAAATAGCATATGTCGAAATAACCCACATCGGCCAAACTGGGCATTCTGTGGGATGCGTAATAGGATATCCAGAAAAAGCATGTTTTCTCGTAAAATCGGGCAAAATTTTAAAAACAAACAAACGAATAGCTGCTGGAAACAATAGATCAGTACTACGGAGACTGTAGTTGGGCCTTATGTAGTTCAACAGATATTTCACACTTTCACGTATTACCTACATAAATTGTAGATATAAATGTGAAAAAAGAGTTGGGTTTTTTTTGATTTCCGACAGAACTTTAGGAAATGTTTCGATGATCCAGATTCCAGCTTGTGACGTCATATGTAGACGGGAGTCGCATCCCAACATCCCAGCAGACGCATAAAACCAGTCTCGAGTCAAACCCCGATTACCCAGTGTATATATTCTATTGGCATCCTATTTTTATGTATCACTAGCCAGAGACCATATCGCAAGAGAATGGATATGTGAAACATGAGATAATCAATGGTGAACTGAATTGGAAACAAGATCACACAAACGCAACTATTTTCTGACGCAAACGTTAAAAGGCGTTCAGTCTTTCCACAGTCTTACAAGCATTTGAACAAACATAAAACCTTTGTGAAATAGATTCCCTTAACATATTGCTGACATAAGCTAGCTGCGCTTGTGTTCTCTAGGTGGCAGTGGTGTTTAAGTTCCACTCGGCTGTATATATGAATGTTTCATTGCCGACATCGGATATATAATGCTACTAATGCGGTTTAATGTTCACCAACGTGGTGTGTAGAGGTTTTGTCGCCCGCCATTGTTCTTTGAAGTCCCCGCCATACCGCGTCCACAACTCTGCGTGAAATATTAATAAAGTATCCAGTCCACCAACTGCCATGAACGTGTTCCCTCCAGCAGTCAGTGTAGCCACCCTGTCAACATTACAGGGAATTGTGTCTTGGATGTGGTCGTCTGTGTTTTACATGTTCCCGTGTCATAAAAAACACAGCCCAGTTTACAATCTGTGTGGTGTGCATTACATAACACAGAACACTGGTGGGATTCCAGTGACAGTTCTGTCTCTCTCCTCAAACTCCAGTCGTACACGTACATTGTCATTAGAAAAGAATTAATTATAGTTTTGGTTGAAGTATGTTGTATATTACAAAAGGGAGCCAGAGAATATCCACGCGTCCCCAAACTGTAGAAATCTAGATTTGCCCAAGTATTGTAGCCTAGCTTGTGGGTTTCCGTATGTTTGTAGCAGGATCTGTAGGAAGACCAAGTGGAATGCCAGGGTGTAACAATCACGATGTATCACCGAGTGTTATACACTACCATTGAGATTCTAGGGGTGAGGGCTGAGTTACACGGTGCATCTACTTGTCAGACTGGCTGTTGGCTCTACATCTGCATCTGGGGCACACAATAGTCGTGTGACACAGACTCCTTATTCTCGATACGTCTGATGTTTGAATGTACCAGCGTGTCGATGACCACCACAGACAAGGTGAAGTGGTGTCATGTTTGGTCGGAGTCAATAGACACACAATATGAAGGTTAACACAATCCGATACTGCCAGATACACAGATACGTGGTATAGACACCTATCTAGCCAGGTGTATGTATATACATAGATACGTGGTATAGACTCCTATCTAGCCAGGTGTATGTATATACATAGATACGTGGTATAGACTCCTATCTAGCCAGGTGTATGTATATACATAGATACGTGGTATAGACTCCTATCTAGCCAGGTGTGTTCACATAGATACGTGGTATAGACTGTCCTATAGAGCCAGGTGTGTATACATAGATAGACAGGTGTGTACACATAGATATGCTGCATTGAAGGTCCTATCTAGTCAGGTTTGTATACAATGATTAGACTAACAACTAGTCTCTGAAATGAACATGATCCGGCTAAAAAGTGGTCTTCAGCAACCCATGCTTGTCGTAAGGGGCGACTATCGGGATCGGTTGGTCAGGTTCGCTGACTTTGATACATGTCATCGTAACCCAGTTGCGTAGATCGATGCTCATGCTGTTGATCAGTGGATTGTCTGGTCCAGACTCGATTACTTACAGACCGTCGCCATATTGCTGGAATACTGCTGCAGAACACCTACTGCCCTATCAAAGATAATGTCCAATTTACGACGTCATCGAATTGAGAACCTCGTTCTTCGTCGTTGTTTGCGATTCATCACGAAGCACCCGTGAAGGCCCGGGTTAGAATGTACCTTCAGTAACCCATGCTTGTAGTAAGAGGCGACTAACGGGATCGGGTGGTCAGGCTCGCTGACTTGGTTGAAACATGGCATCGGTTCCCAATTGCGCAGATTGATGCTCATGCTGTTGATCACTGGAGTGTCTGGTCCAGACTCGATTATTTACAGACCGCCGCCATATAGCTGGAATATTGCTGAGTGCGGCGTAAAATTAAACTAACTCACTCATCACGAAGCTGCCATATATGGACGAAATACCGTCTATACCCACGTAGAGTGTAATATTACTAATAAAGCCTACTTTCGCCGTGGATATACAGTACTCTGATCGATTCTTGACATATATTTTGTCCCTTATTTCATGAGGTATAAACTACCCGATCCTCCGATAAACACGTGTTCAATGTTCGATACCGGTATATACAACATATACATACACTGTCCGTTCCTAGCATGTCAAGAAAGTCTGCACTGTGAGCACCACGCTAGGCACATATATTTAGGTTAATACGCACAGGCTTATATCGTGAACTCTGCGTCTGCATATAATGCTTTCCACTACTGTAGAATCGTTACAACCGTTGAATTTCTAACACTGAAACTGTTGTAGATGGGTAAGCAACAATACCGCTACTAGAGGCAGTATAACACGACTGGTTCATTATAGATGTACGGCGATTTGCTCTCTTCAGACACGTACATGTGTATCTGTCTGCCAATTGTGTTTCAGTTTAAACCTCTTCAGATGTCCTTCAGATTGCAGGGATTGGATACATTGAATAATTGGCGTCCATTTGACTTCAATGTCATGTCCTTTAGCTAGGTATTCTATTACGCAAGGACCATTGTTGACTAAGTGTCTCTGAGATTGCGTCGTAAATTACTTAACATGATCACGAGCGGTGGGTCGTATAGCATGCTGGCTGAAATTGACCAGCCGTCAATCACCGAGACTCGCCCAGATTGACGCGCGGAAATGTACCTGAGGATGTACATTAATGGAGGATGACTTACTGTGTATATGATTCGACAGGTGCTCGGGATCGCGTGGTTTCTTGTAATATATAAGCGTAGGCAGGCAGGCAGGCAGGCAGGTAGGACTTAGATCAGTAGAGCTGCAAGCAGTATTTATCCAAAATCAGTAGAACGCCAAGTAGTATTTATCCGAGATCAGTAGATAGGCAGGTAGTATTTATCCGACAGCAGTAGACAGAGGGGGTGAGTAGACCGACAAGTAAAGAATGGGACAAGTACAATACAGACTAGATCGGGTGACCTGTAAGTACCGTGAAGACGGGATAAGAGTGTCAAGTAGCATATATACGGTATGACAGCGCTCTTGAGGAGAGTAGATCAGTGGTATTGCTGCTGGTACCTTGAGGGCAGGTCCAGTGGTTTGAAGTGTAACGATTTCTTGGGGCTGGGGTCGAGCTTATACAGAGTGGTAAACACATGGTAAATGGTAATTGGTACAATTGTTGCTGAGAGTAATAAAATACTGCGTCAAACTACCTGTCAATGCTGTCCGTTAGAACCACGATCAACACTTGTTCTAGTCGTCTTTGGCATCCCCTAGAACCACGATCAACACGTGTCCCCGTCGTCATGGGCATCCCTTAGAACCACGATCAACACTTGTTCCCGTCGTCTAGGGCATCCCTTAGAACCACGATCAACATGTGTTCCAGTCGTCTGGGGCATCCCTTAGAACCACGATCAACACTTGTTCCAGTCGTCTGGGGCATCCCTTAGAACCACGATCAACACTTGTTGCAGTCGTCTAGGGCATCTCCAAGAACAAACGATCAACACATGTTCTAGTCGTCTTTGGCATCCCTTAGAACCACGATCAACACTTGTTCCCGTCGTCATGGGCATCCCTTAGAACCACGATCAACACGTGTTCCCATCGTCATGGGCATCCCTTAGAACCACGATCAACACTTGTTCCCGTCGTCTTGGGCATCCCTTAGAACCACGACCAACACGTCTTCCAGTCGTCTAGGGCATCCCCAAGAACCACGATCAACATGTGTTCCAGTCGTCTAGGGCATCCCTTAGAACCACGATCAACACGTTTTTCAGTCGTCTAGGGCATCCCTCACAACCACTATCAACACTTGTCCCCGTCGTCAAAGGCATCGCTTAGAACCACGATCAACACTTGTCCCCGTCATCTAGGGCATCCCTTAGAACCACGATCAACACGTGTCCTAGTCGTCTTGGGCATCCCTTAGAACCACGATCAACACGTCCTAGTCGTCTTGGGCATCCCTTGGAACCAAGTTCAACACATGTTCCCTTTCGTCATGGGCATCCCTTAGAACCACGATCAACACGTGTTGCAGTCGTCTAGGGCATCCCTAAGAACAAACGATCGACACATGTTCTAGTTGTCTTTGGCATCCCATAGAACCACGATCAACACGTGTTCCCGTCGTCATGGGCATCCCTTAGAACCACTTTCAACACGTGTTCCTGTCGTCATGAGCATCCCTAAGAACCACGATCAACACTTGTTCCCTTCGTCTAGGGCATCCCTTAGAACCACGATCAACACGTGTTCCCGTCGTCTAGGGCATCCCTTAGAACCACGATCAACACGTGCTCCCATCGTCATGGGCATCCCTTAGAACCACGATCAACACGTGTTCCCGTCGTCATGGGCATCCCTTAGAACCACGATCAACACTTGTTCCCGTCGTCATGGGCATCCCTTAGAACCACGATCAACACGTGTTCCAGTCGTCTAGGGCATCCCTTAGAACCACGATCAACACATGTCCTAGTCATCTTGGGCATCCCTTAGAACCACGATCAACATGTGTTCCAGTCGTCTAGGACATCCGCTTAGAACCACGATCAACATGTTTTTCAGTCGTCTAGGGCATCCCGTAGAACCACGATCAACACGTGTTCTAGTCGTCATGGGCATCCCTTAGAACCACGTTCAGTCGTCATGGGCATCCCTTAGAACCACGATCAACATGTGTCCTAGTCGTCTTGGGCATCCCTTAGAACCACGATTAACACTTGTTGCCGTCTTCTGGGGCATCCCCTAGAACTACGATAAACATGTGTTCTCGTTGTCTAGGGCATCCTTTAGAACCCCGATCAACACTTGTCCCCGTTGTCCAGGGCATATCTTAGAACCACGATCAACACGTGTTTCAGTCGTCTAGGGCATCCCTTAGAACCACGATCAACACGTGTTCCAGTTCTCTGGGGCATCCCTTAGAACCACGATTAACACGTGTTCAAGTCGTCTAGGGCATATCTTAGAACCACGATCAACACGTGTTTCAGTCGTCTAGGGCATCCCTTAGAACCACGATCAACACGTGTTCCAGTTCTCTGGGGCATCCCTTAGAACCACGATTAACACGTGTTCAAGTCGTCTAGGGCATCCCTTAGAACCACGATCAACACGTGTCCTAGTCGTCTTGGTCATCCGTTATATCTACGATCTACTGGAGACACGGGTTCAAATCTACTTGTACTGTACATTAGATTGGGAGTGTCGGTATATTGATTGATTCACGAGGTAAACGTGTACGATCTGGTACACTTTGGATCCTGGTCGCACACGACTGCCAACTTTGTCTGTGTTGAGTAGTATAATTTATAAAACGTAAACCTGACGACTTCAGATTCCTACGTCAGCAGGAGCACATTGTTTCATTCGTACTGACCTTGTCCAGTCCCCCGTAATTAAAATACCTTGGTCAGCGCAGAACCGCTATTGAAGCAATGTATCTGACCATTCCAGGTATGTTTGTTATACCGACTGTGTACACCTTACGTCTATGCGCGACGGATGGAACTACTTTATTTCTCAAAATGGCATTTCTAACACCGCGTCTGGTATGTCGGAGTGAATCAAACCCCTATTGACACTGACCGGAGGTCAGTGGGCCAGTGTGACAGCACACTTTAGGAAATAACATTGGCCGTGTGGGTAGGTCTAACACCACGTGGACTGTAGGCCCAGTCGCCTGTATATCATTGTTGTGCTTCTGATGTTGTGACAATTTGTAGCACAACACAATGATCTGTATGTGATTTGGCAGGGAAATATAAATACGGTCAAAGGACAGCTTCTGTTGGACCAACACAGCCATATTCTGTTTGGCCCGGTTTCATATTTACCCATGACTGGTTACCCGAAATACAGAGAAACAGTGTCGTATGAAGTACTTGAGTGATATACTCCTTTAAACGGAGCTTCAGGACTTTTATCGGAGATGCCCGTAAACTGTTCCTGTTCTCAGTTTGACGTATTTTTTTATTCTGTTCAGCTGGGAACAAATGTGTGCTTGTTGATACAACGTCCATGGTACTGCGATGGTGTCGATGGATGGTCCCTGGAGACTCCGTCTGTTTCCACGTCCCTGCTTCACACAGTCCAATAAACCTGTTTAGTGGCTAATGGACTATTTAAATAGGTTGATTTCCAGATTTATGTATTAACTGCTGTTTAATTGTTCCCAACGTTCGTATCCGCGAAATATCAGGAATAATTAGGGCTAGGCAACTATTTCCTTGGAGTATGTTTGGCCTGGTTTGCCTGAGGATTTGGTCAATCGGATATTTACCGTATTTGTTGTAATGATCGTCCTCTGACGACCAAACACAACCATTGAGACGCTGGGCATCTGTTGTTTG